CCTTAACACTTTGAATATATTTTCCCATTCTTTCCTCGCTTGCATTGTTTCCGATGAGAGGTCTGCCGTTAGTCTGATGGGATACCCTTTGTAGGTAACTTGCCGTTTTTCTCTTGCCAATCTTGGTATCTTGTCTTTGTCTGTGGTTTTGGTCAATCTGTCTATAATGTGTCTTGGTGAAGATCTTCTTGGGTTGATTCTATTTAGGGTCCTCTGTATTTCTTGGGACTGAATCTTTGAGTGCCTCTCTAGGTGGAAAGTTTTCTTGCAGGATCTCATGGAATAGATCATCAATGTCCTTATGAGTCTCTTCACCTTCTGGGATGCCTATTATCTGGATGTTTGACATTTGATGGTACCTAGTATTTCTCATATATTAGTCTCAAATTTTTGGGCCATTTTCTCAGTCTTCATCCACACACAGTTCAATGGAAATCATGGAAATGTCTTATAAAGAATTCAGAACATTCATAATGGCAAAGCTAACAGAGATGGAAGTGAAGAGAGACAATGAACTGCTGAAGAGGAAGGAGAAAGAGGTTGTCGAGTTACAGGAGGTGAGGAAATTCATGCAAGATCTAAAAGAGGAATTTCACACTTTACAAAAGAATCAAATGGAACTGTGAGAGATGAAGGCTATAATACAGGAAGTCAAAATCTCCCTTGAAAGTATTAAAAGCAGACTAGATCATACAGACAATAAAATCTCAGACGTAGAAGAGAAAATTGCTAGCCTAGAAAAATCCACCACAAAGACTGAGAAATATCTTTATTTGCATTATTTCACTAGTAATCTAAAGAGCAAATCAAAATAAGGTTACATTTTCATCAAACAATTGACTAATATTTAAAGAAAACAAAGAGTGAGGCCAGCCAGGTGTTGCAGTGATTGGGGTGGCTGAATTCCACATGGTCGACTGCACTGTTTGAGTCCTGGACCTGGCATCTTGAAAAACACGCCAGGCCCGTGTGTGTGCATGCCCAAAAAATGCCAGGCCCGTGTGTGTGTAAGGAGAATAGAAAAGAAGGGATTGTGGCATGGCGATACCCCCTGGGGTATGCTTACTCACTTCCCTGTCTCTTTGTCTCTCTGTCTCTTTTTTTTAATTTATTTTTTATTATTATTTTTTTTAACATTTTTTTCTTTATTTATTTACATTCATTCACTGTACATCATTATAGCATACAAAATGAGATTTTTCCATTCAGAATACACTGTATATTGGCTCAATCAAGCACATCAACATATGTGTTATTGTCAACAAATCATTTTCCATTTCTTGTTTTCTGTATATTTTTCCTTTTTTCCCATCCTTGATTCCCTATCTCACCCTCTGCCATCTCCCACCCTCCTCCCACACTGTGTCTGGTATCTATTGTTGCTTTCTATGCCTCCCCCATTTTATTGTTTCACTAAATATCTTAATAAATCTAAATATTTTCAATAGCAAGCACAGCTGATATGTACATATCCATGAACACAAGACTGACTTTAGGCATAAACCTCAGTGAATAGAATGAACATACTGTAAAGTAGCACCTAACTAGGGCTATATAGCTTAACTGCAGTCATCAAATAGGTATTTCTAATGCCTTTTTTTTTTTCTTCTGAAAATTTTTTTTTTATTAATTTACATTCATTCCCTGAGCATCATCACAACATTCTAAATGTGGTTTCCCATCTAGAATATACTATATAGTGGCTTAATAATGCATGTTATCATCCATAATATTCCATTTCTACTTTCATATATATGTTTTTTACCCCATGTCTAGCCCTCTGCCCTATTCCACTCTCTTATTACACTATCTCTGCTGTCTACAGTTGTCTTCAATTCCTTTTCCCCCAACATTTCGTTGATCACACAATATCATAAGTAATCTAACTACTTTCAATAGCAAGATCAGCCGATGGTTTCAAGAAAAGCAGTTTTGAACTGGTAAGGATATTTCTTTGAAACTTAAAGCCTAGAAACAGGTTAGTATTCTGTTCAAATAGTCGGAACATGAATCTATTGATAGCTGAAGACAGGACAAAAGTCCTTAAAACCAGACAACAAAGCTTAGAAGAAAAGCAGCAATATTTTAGTCAAGTCGTAGAATACT